GAACAACTTCTGAGTACATTTTTCTATAATTTAAATCTCCAGACGTGGAAATTCAGTCCGAAGTTTAGCTCAGGTTATCGTAATTAAAAGAAAGAAGAAGAAAAATCTAAGTGGAAGTTTTTTCCCCCTCTCGAAAGCCATCGAGCGCCAAGAATTAGAAAATGAAGAAATTATGGAAACCCTGACTGCTCTCTTCGGTAACCCGACGAAGGGGTGATATCGTCGTTCCTCGAACGTAAGAGCCCTCCTCGATTTCCGCATGAGCCACAGAAAGCATGGATTTATATGTAAAACAAGGCTCATATTGAAATTGAGATACGCCCTTACGCCAGAGGACGATATCTGAACAATTAGCAAGCCGAGAAATTTCATTTTCAAAAGCTCCCCTTTTTCGCACGTTCGCGACGTATCGTTGTTTACGTAGCTTTACCCGTCTCTCTCTTTCTCTCTCTCCCCTTCGCTTCCGTTTTTCGCGGTTGTTGACATTTCTTTTTTGTCTCAGCAATCGTTAGATCGGAAGGCAGAGTTTTTTCCCCTCGTTGGTCCCGCCCTGCGGGTCGAGTGTTGAATCGTTATCGAATGAACTCGATCGATAAATCTCCATCTCGGCAATGCTTTTTACAGGGTTGCCACAGTCAGGGAAAATCGGGAAATGTCGGGAAATTTTAAAAAGTCAGGGAAATGTCAGGGAAAATTTGTTCAATCACCTCGATTTGCTTTCTAGAATGGGTTTGAGGTTTCGAACAACAAATTTTGCCTGAAAACTATTTCCAATTATGCCTTCTTAAGCATCCGCCATATCTTCAATTGTCAGGAAATTTCACCAAAATGTATCAGGGAATTTTATTTTCTATATTCTGTGGCAACCCTGTCAAAGTGGAAGTCTCATCACGTAGAATGTTAGGGAAAGTCAGGAAATCCGAAAAACTTGAAACAAGGGAGAAGTCAGGGAATTAGATCATGAAGAAATTATGTGGACCCCGCTCCTTTTTTTTTTTTTAAAGAGAAGCAACTGTAAATAAATACATTTTATATTTTAAATCCGGTAAAATGATCAAACCCCTCGATTTAATAGGAGCAGCTTTATTTCTGTGAGTACAAGTCTCCAGTTAAGACTCTTCAAGCAAGTAGGTTGTCTATAACTGAAATCAGGGAAATGTCAGGGAATTTCATCTCCTAAATTTTGTGGCGACCCTGTTTTTATCGATCAAGGTCATTCGATAACGAATCGATATCGAATGACCATGATCGATATAAAGCAGTGCCAAGTTAGGGAATTATCTATCAGGATCATTCGATAACGATTCAACAATCGACCCGCAGTTCTTTTTTCCCTCGTCGGTCCCGGCCCGCGGGTCGAGTGTTGAATCGTCATCGAATGGACTCGATCGATAACTCCCTATCTCGGCAATGCTTTCTATCGATCAAGGTCATTCGATAACGACTCAAGAATCGAGCCGCCGGCGTCTCGGCCCGCGCGAACGAGACGAGGAGCAGGAACGCGGGAAAAATCAATATACAAAGGCCGGATTTCAAGTGTACCCTCGACGCTCGAAGCTGCTGCAAACGCCGTCGGTCGAGCTGAAATGATTCAATGTCGAGTGGATGGATATCCGCCTTTCGATGAAGCCGAGGAATTTCAGCGAGGTCCCGTTCCGATGGTATGCTGCACTGTCGCGCCATGGAAAAACGCCGTACGAACATCCGAGAGTTGCCAAATTTCCCCTTCCAAAATATTAATTTCCGAGACGGATAATGAATTTTTCCTACTTGAAATTGTCTGATACTTTGGATCACGTTGCGTGGAAAATTCTCTGGATAAATGGACGGAAAATTTTCTCAAGTTTTCCGGAAAATTCGTATTTTATCGAAGGAAATTTGGCAACGCACGAAGGTTCATACGGCGTTCTTGTTTGGCACGGTAGTGTACGGAGTCTTTCATCTTCGCCGCGATAGAGGAAGATAGTTCAAGGATATTCGCGAGGGGTTTGTGGCATGACGGTCGTCATGCAAGCTCCTGGCCCCAAGCTACTCGTGAAAATTTTCCTATCCTCGATAGAGGCGCCTCTGTCGATTGGGTAACATACATAGGTACATCTTGAAATGGGTCGCAAGCCCGGAAGAAGTCGGGGAAATTTTTGACTGTGGTTAGTGAATGTTTTGATGACTTCAGGTGGCCCAGCGTGAATCGGACGTGATGACAGGGTTGCCAGTCAGGGAATTTTAAAACAGTCAGGGAAACCGGGAATTGTCAGGCGAAATGATGTAATTCACCCTTATTTGCTTCCTAGAATGAGTTCGACGTTTCGAACCGCAGCTTTTGCTCGAAAAATATTTCAAATTGTCCCTTATGTCTTCAACATAGTGTCGGAGGAATTTTCCAAAATTTGTCGGGGAAATCGGGTAAATCTTATTCTCTGAATTCCGTGGCGACCATGTAATTAGTGACTTATCAGGGTGCCAAGGAGTTTTTTACATTTCTGATGTATCAGGGAATTTTCGGACTCGTTATCAATGATTTTTTTCCCGTGAAGTACGAGAGCGTTCAGGGAGTAGATTCGTAATCATCAGGGTTGTCTTTTCTTTATTCTCTGGAAAGCCAGATGAATTTTTAGGAATGTTGACGGAAGCAATTAGAGCTCAGGGATTGTGTTCGTAAAGTCAGGGAAAATCTGAGAAATTTTTAGTCTTCTTGTAGTATAGGGGAATGAATGGTTCCTGGGTAGTCACTTACAGAGTGTCTCTGTCTACTGTCTACCGGTCCCCAATGTCCCCGATTATCCCCGATTTTGGAAGGGTGTCCCCGATATCCCCGAAAGTCCCCAATTTTCGTCTTAAACACCGGCATTTTCAAATTTTCCGCCAGCCACGGCGGCACGGTATAACCGGGGGGAAAATAACTGATATGTTGCTCGGTTTTTCGTATGTTTTAATCGGTTCAACATGACTTGTAAAATTAGTCGTATGCAATACGCCTTTTAACGCTCTAACTAGCTCCTTTTCTCCTCCTATTTCGAGAAAAAAAACTCCCCAATTTTTTTGAAAAAACACCCTTAAAAGTCCGCGAAAGTCCCCAATTTTGGTTTTCTACATATTACTGGTAGTCACCCTGACTTATTTTGTATGTAACTCGTACAAGTCCATCGAAACTTTTAGAATCGTCCGGAAAAATTATCGCAAACCCCAAGCAAGCCTCATTTTGACTACATTCTGCCATGAAGAACCTCTCCAAGTGTTTTAACCGTAAAAGCATCTATCTATGTACGGAAATTAATGGCTCAAAAGTCGTCTCTAAAATGAGCCAGGAGTAGTGGTCGCTCATTGCATGCATATTGTAGTCCATTTGCACGTTAAATTATAATTCATGAAAGATGCTGCCCGTCGCATGACCGGAAGATCAAAGAAGGGCTCATTACCAAGGCAGCACTAAGTAATCAACTGTGAAGTTTACGAACGCCGACTGTCATCATTGCAAAAGCTTTCGCCGAACAATTTTCCACGGTGAAGAAATATCGAATATTTCCAGAAGTAGGTAACAATGCATCGCGACGAGTCCCCTTGACGAATAAGTTAAAAATGAAAATTTGAAAAACGTCCTTTTAAATGCCCATGCAGCCAAATCCTAACTCCCCAAGAGACACGGCATGGCATCGGCATCGGCAATGCCTGTTGGAATTTAAAAAAATCGCAAGTTACTTTCGCACTTTTCATTTAGCATTCATAATTTACCACTCTGATACTGCCGTACTAAGGAAAAACGCCGTATGAACCTCCAGCCATTGCCTTTCCTTTGATGGAACACGAATTTCCTGATAAACTTATGAATATTTTCTTTCCAATTTTTCAGATAATCTTGCGTGCAGTGTCAGCTGAAGTTCTTGAAAATTTTGAGGAATATTCATAACTTTCCTAAAAAATAAACATTTTATGTTTAATGTTCATATACGGCGTTCTTCAGGCAGTATAGACACTCAGTTCTGGTCGCGCGAAAATCGCGAGCTCTGATTGATTTACGGAATCCTTATTTTGGCAAAGGTAGATCACTGTAGATGATGCGATGACGTAACGCCCATCTTCAAATAAGAATCCAGGTGGATTAAAATTCACCAAAAACAGGTTCTCTGTCAAGGTCCCCCCCGGTGTACATCTACGTCTACCATCTAGAACCCCATCCACTCCCTCCCAGAACTACTCGTCGGTTAGCACGCCGAATCTAATGAGTAAATTAAGCGCTCTGTCTGGAGGTATCACTCGACCAAAAAAGTTTTACCGCCATTTCTTCTTCAACTGTCAGTATTATTTTGCCTTTTGCTATCACAAAAAATCATTCCTCTTCGACTCGTTTTGATTCGTTAGGACTGGACCTATAGTTAGTCCGTTTCACAGTCGAGATTCTTACAGAATTTTTACTCCGCAATACTGATTTCCGCATCATTGTGTCACGCAGATCAGGTCAAAAATATTAACAATCTTCAAATTTATCTTATAATCAAGAATTTTTTCTTCAAAGCTAACATTAGAATCAGTCAGTTTAAGTTTTCCGCCTGGGGGAAAAACACACAAGAATTATTCAAAAATCAAAAATGACCCTGCGTCAATCAGATTGATGGATGAAACTAAACGTTAAAGTTCGAAATAATAGAGCCAGGTTTCCCACGAATTATATCCTTAAGCACAGTACAATGTACACACTCGTAAATCTCAAAAAAAATCTACTGCCATGAAATTCCAGAAGACATCGGGTTTTTTCGCGATTGGGAAATTTGGATTAACGAATACCCAACACGCTGAGCTTTACTGATGTTATTATAATGTTGTGTGATCTCAACATTTTTGTTGTGAATGAATTAGGTCGGGATTTTCTGAGAATCTATTTTTCTATCCAATTCTATTTGTTTTTTTACTAATTTCCGAACATTATTCAATATTCGTTTATGATAAAAATACAATATTATAATATTCAAATTATTCATTATTCATTTTTTTTTTTTTTGTTTCAGAGTAACAGATCAGAGTACCAATGTCGGTGGACAAGGAAGAGTTGGTTCAAAGGGCAAAACTTGCCGAACAAGCGGAGCGATATGATGACATGGCGGCAGCGATGAAAAATGTGACAGAAACAGGTGTAGAATTATCAAATGAGGAAAGGAATCTTCTCTCAGTAGCATACAAGAATGTCGTAGGAGCCCGCAGATCCTCATGGCGAGTCATCTCGTCGATCGAACAGAAAACGGAAGGATCCGAACGCAAGCAACAAATGGCTAGAGAATACAGAGAAAAAGTTGAAAAAGAGTTACGAGATATTTGTTATGATGTTTTGGTAAGATTTTCTTTTCTTATTCAGCATGCTTGGAAGTGAGTACGATCTCCATAAAATCTGATTATTGACCGAATAATTAACTTTTTCACCCACATCATAGGGTATAGGGTTGCCACTGTCAGGGAACGCTGGAAAATGTCAGAGTGTTTTGAAGTCAGGGAAAACCTGGAAATGAAAAATGAAAAATCGTCAAGTCACCTTTATTTGCTTTCTAAAATGGGTTTAACGTTTTGAACGACTAATTCTGGGTGAACATTAATTCAAATTATGTCTTTTTAACCGTCTTGTATGCCTTCAATTTTCGGGGAGCTTTACCAAAATGTGTCTGGGAAATTCATTTTCTGCATTTTTTGGCAACCCCGCTTACAGTCTGATCATTGAATGAAGGATTAACTTTTTCACTTGTATTGCAGGGTCGCCTTTGTCAGGGAAAACCGGGAAATGTTAGGGAATTTTAAAAAGTCAGGGAAACCCTGGAACCTGGAAACTATTGAAGTGAAAATTTCAGTATTTTAAAGATACTCTGGATAACTATTTCCCTCCATTTTTCTTTATTTGCAGGCATGGATCTCTGTCTTAATTTTCTGGAGGTGTATCTTTACTTTTAGAATTTTTATTTCTAAAAGCTCCTTTATTTGGTCAAACTTTCCTTTTAAGGATAACATTGATTGCTTATAAGAAAATAGAAGATTTTGATCTTGAAATAGTCCTTATTTTGGCCTCTACCGGCTACTTTTAATATTTGTTCTTCCTTTTTCTCTGTTTCAGGGTCTATTGGACAAGTTTCTTATTCCAAAAGCAAGTAACCCTGAAAGTAAAGTTTTCTATCTTAAAATGAAAGGTGATTACTACAGGTACCTTGCAGAAGTTGCCACAGGCGACACTAGAAGCGGTAATTATCATTTTATTAATTCATCTTCTGTTTGGATGAAACAACACTGTAAAACAATTTTCATAGATTTTAAGGAAAGATCATGTGTTTTCCACAACATATCTCGTGCCTAATTAATTTTTGAGTTATTTTCATATCAGACCTCTCTCTTTGACTCTTTGCTGGAATATTAATAAATGCTTACCTAATAAATATTAAATTAGTGTTGTCCAGAGATAGTTCTGAGAACTCAACATTATTTTCTAAATTCATCAGTAGGCAGGCAACAAAACCAACATAACTACACAACACAACAGAATGTAGTGTTCATTTCACACCGAAATAAATATCTGTCCTCTATAGTCTGATTCTCGTCTTGCAAAATTAATTTTGTCGAAAAATTCAGTAAGGCAGGAATAGTGTTTAAAAAAATGTCTCTAGCTTAAAACTCAGTGGCTCATAAGTCCCAGGGTACTGTGATAATTCAACAAGAGGCCTTCAACTTTGTCAATCATAGTTGTCAGACCAACCTAATCCAACTTATTTCTCCGAGTTGTTCAGGGTTTCTACTACTGGAAAAAAAACAGGGAAAACCAAGGGTATTGATTGTGAATTTGGAAGGAATGTGACTTTAACTCCAAAATTTTAAGTGAAAAGAATTTCTTTCAAAAGCGTTCAGTGAAAAGAGTCAAACTTGGAAATAAAATTTAAAACCGAAAGCTGCCTGTTTTCTTGTTTCAAGTTTCAATTGCTCTCCACACCCAATAGCACTTGCTGTTTTCTTAGAAAAATGACTTTATTAATAACTTATTATAACAATTGTTAAGACGTCAAAGAATTCCCATTTATCTACTACTTGAAACAGTCAAAAATTTGAAAATGTATGCTCTTAAAAAGTGTATTCATTTCAACAGTAGTAGGTAAACCCAATATTTTGTATAGTAGTATTGTGTGGTAGTGAAGTTGGACATGATTTTTACAAACCAAAAGGAGCTTTTATAAGTTGTCCTTGATCATAGTCTTGACAGAGTGGTTAAGTTACACCTCTGCGACGAGTGCGTTTTATCAGAGAGTTATTTTCTGCGAAGACTGCAAGGAAAATACATGAAATTTGAAAAAAAAGTAGAGACCTTCCATCAGGGATTTGGAACATTTTGGAGTCAGGGACAGTTGGGGAATCAGGAAATGAAGAAATTATGGAAACTTTGCAAATTTATTTAATCCAACTTATTCCCCGGAGTTATTACCAGACAAGTTAAAACTGCTCCAACTTGAAAATGAAAATTATTTTGTTCAATGCGCTGTTCTCTTTCTATGTTTCATCCATAAATTATTATTTACAGCTGTAGTTGATGACTCTCAGAAGGCTTACCAAGATGCATTTGAAATAAGCCAGTCGAAGATGCAGCCCACACATCCAATAAGACTTGGCTTAGCTCTTAATTTCTCTGTTTTCTACTATGAAATCCTCAATTCACCAGATAAAGCCTGCCAATTAGCAAAACAGGTTTGTTAGAGGATCATTATCATCCTATTGATAGTATTTTTACTCCATTTTTTTACTATTTGTCTCCTTTTTGTTCTAGCTGTAGTCGATGATTCGCAAAGGGCTTATCAAGAAGCATTTGATATCGCCAAATCAAAAATGCAACCCATTCACCCTATTCGTTTGGGATTAGCATTGAATTTTTCAGTTTTTTACTATGAAATAATCAATTCCCCAGCTCGAGCCTGTCATTTAGCCAAACAGGTAATGAAGAAAAGGAAAAATAAGGTTACTGGCTTACGTGCGTGGATTCGTGTTTTTCCCGGTTAACCCATTTGTGTGTGAATTGATTTAATCTATTGGGATGTTCATGTGATACATAACGCTTTAGGGAAGGGGGTTTTTAGCCTGTGTTATAAGGAAGAGAGAGTTATCAAGATTGTGTCATGCAATGCTAGAATTAGCGTGTGGAGCAAATTTTTTAAAAATTTAAGTTGAAAAATCAATGTGTTTTGGTAGTTTCTTCTCCATATTCATCCCAAACATCTTATTAGAGGGAGGGTCCTAGGAAGCGTTACAAAACTTTTTTAGGGTAGTGTAGACCCTTGTCACGAAGGTGTTGCAAGGGGGAGGGTGGCCGTCAAAATATCAGATTTTCAGCGTTACATATTTTATGAACAGCCCTCTACTAACTTCTCCTCTGAGTTTAACTTAACACTTTGCATATTTCAGTGTACCTATCAGTCAAGATATACAATATCATGGGTCTGGTAAGCCAGTCTGTGTGTTGGAAGGATATGGTTAAGAATTTGGCCTCGTAAAGAAGTAATGACCAGATATTGATATAAAAATTAATTTCAGTATTTTTTAAAGTATGAAAAGAATTGTATGATTGCACAAAAATGTCTTCAGAATGATCTAGATCACCTTTACAAGCCTTTTTTCTAGTATTCAATTGACGTCAGAATTTCTTGCCCTGTTTGTCAATCGACTTGTGTTTTGGCACCACTTGTATCGCTCACCATGAATGTATCTGCCTCTCTTTATCTTAAAGTTTTAAATTAATATCTCATTTTCAATTTACTGAAATTACTTCTTGAACTTAGTGCCTTGCAAAAATGAGATAAAACTCCTTAATTACTCAATTTTTAGCCTTTAAGATTTAAAGTCCTTAACTTAGAAACCCTTTTCTTTAAATTACAGTAATTTTCTGAGGCAGCTCCAGAAGCAGTTTTTGTTATTTTTTTCCATTCTTTGCCTTCTGTTTGTTGCAGAGATTTTCTGTTCTTCAAAATTCTCAAGTGAAATTATCTCTTCAATTTGCTCCTCCTCTTAACAAAAAGTTGCATTTTTGATTTGGTGTTTTGTAGTGTTAACTCTTGTATCACTAACCCTCTATTTTCGTGTTATTTTTTCAATCCTGCTCAGTGTAAAAATTTTGGTGATCTTTGCCAGATTTCAACAAATAGGGCCGTGTGCTCTGAGTGACCGAGTTCCTGGCACTCNCAATAAGAGTATGAGAAGAAAAGTAAGTTTTTTAACTTTTAAACTCTCTCAGAAATGATGGACCCCAGAGAGACAATCTGTCACACCCGTTACGCAAACTCTCCCATTTTTCAAGAAAAGAAAAAAAGATAATCGAAAACGGATCATCGGCAGATGAAGCAAAAACCCTTGGCTTCATCATATAGTTTAATCAGATTTTTAAATTCATAAAATTCGCTGAGTTTCCACTTTACACTCACTGAGGAAAAACTCACTTCCAAAATCGGTCACGCCCGTTACGCAGCCTTTTAATTTTTTCCTGAGGAATGGAACAAAGTAAAAACAATTTCTGATAAACTAAAATGATCTATAAAAAAAGTTCTTTCTGCCACTGCAGATAATTTTTTAATTAAACCCCAAGAAAGAGTTCAAATTCTTATTTAAAGTTAAATTGTTGTCACACCCGTTACAATGGAATGACCCTTAACAGTGTAATATTAAATTGTAAAAATATTCAGTTGTGGGAAAGGAACTTAAATCAAGATTGTTGTCTCGGCGCACAAGTCATTCAGAAAAAGAGTTGGTGATTTTGCTAATGCGTATTGAAATTCAATATCAACCTGACTTGCCCAATGAGGAAAAAAGCTCAATCAAGCACATATATTTTTCATTGAAGAGATATGCTGTATGATGCCACTCTAGTTATGACCAATCAAAAAGGCAACTGTGGAAGTGTTTCACGACTTATTGTTTCTATCCTCAGCACAGTGCTGTCTATACCTAATTTTTTACTATCAAGCTGAGGGATGTCGTTACTACCAGACCGAAGTTTGGGTGAGCTGTTGCAATAGCAAGAGAACTTTAAGCCATCAATAGAGTGAACGTAACTTGTCCTCAGTTGCCTCCCTGATTGGTAGCAACTACTGTTGCACCAAATGGCACACTTACAGCATATTTTCATTTTATGTTCTTGCGGCCTTGTCCCGTTTCAAATTGATTTTGTTTTATCGTTTCAGGCGGAATAAGTTGTTTTTTTTTTAAAAATGTTTTTACCAACATACTCATTGCAGAAGGAGTTCCAGGAGAATTCTGAGTAAGAATGTCCTTTAGGTTGACACTTGATTGCTGGTTCAAATGAATAATAAATCAAATTAATTTTTGTTGAACAGGCATTTGATGATGCAATAGCAGAATTGGACACACTAAATGAAGATAGCTACAAAGACTCGACACTGATTATGCAGTTACTACGAGATAATTTGACGCTATGGACATCAGATACTCAGGCTGATGGCGATGAACCTGCAGATGCTGGAGATAACTAGATTGTTCACTGTGCGCATTCTAGGAGTGTTTTGTATTCGCGTTTGATTTTGCCAACTCGACATCCCTTCTACCTTCCTTTGTATACTTTTTTATGTTGGATGTTTCACAAAGAGTGCAAACCGTGTTCATTTTGCATACCATAATTGTTAATATCCTACCTGAAAGCTGTCAGAGTTGGTTGAAGTAAACGCTAACCGACAAACTGGAACCACTACAATGAAGAACAATGCTTGATCTTTTCAAGATCTAATTGGTTTCAAGTTTAGTTGCCATAATCTGAATACAATTTCAATTTGATTGTTAAATTTCACTCAATTAGATGTACTTGTTTACGTAAATTTGTGTCCATATTGGGCATCTTCTCCCTTTTTTCGCCGCAGTGACAATTAACTTTTTTCCCCCTTTTTTTTTCTCTTTTCCTTTTTTTTGTTTGTTTTTCTCTCCTTTTTACGTTTTTCTGAGGTTTCTCAGAAGTTTTGTTATCTGTTAAAATATTTTACTTGATTCGAAGTTAATTGTGCATCCAAGATAAAGAGAAAGGCATGAATAGACATTGGTATCCCGAACATCTGAAGTATTTATTTGATTATTTATTTATTTTTACTAGCTGGAACAAATCTGTGTTAGATTTTCTGCATCAGCGAGTCTTTTTCTATGTGTGCATCACATTCTTCAAGTCCTACTATTCTGTCTCTCATGGAAGTACCTAATTTTTCTCTATCATTGCTTACTATTTTCTGTAAGATATGTTATTCTCTTCTGAATTATGTTTTATTCATTGCTTCATTCTTTAAATATTATTGTTGCCCGAACAATTTCTGCACTTTTCAACAAACATAATCGTCCAAGCAAAGTATAAAGTTAATTTATTATTTTAAATAGTCTTTGAAACAATTTCATTATTTTATGCACAACAGGCTGAACTATTATACAGAATTTTTGACAATTTTAAAGTATTCAGGGCTAATAATAAATTGATTTGGAGGAATTTGTTCACTTTTCATCAGCAAGAATTTTACCGAAGTTTTTCTATCCGTATTTGTATTGAAGATTACATTTGAATCAAGGAAATGTTCCACAGAAATCTGAATTATCGCTATTTTCTTCTTTTTCTGTTTTCATTCATGTATGTTAATACTCACTCTCTAGTTTGCCGATAAATGAAGCAGTCCAACTCACGCTTGTGTTGTATGCAAGTCAGAATCTTTTCACACAATATGCTTATATCGTTTACTTCTTTATTTTCCAAACAATCATTGATTGAGATGAAACTGAAGAAGAAAAAAGAATCTTTTGTTTTATACATGACTCGCTAGTGGTTCATTTTTCACAAACTGTATCTGGAAATATTTGTAATATTATACAATATTTAAATACAAATTATTTCATTTTATTTAATACTTAGTCATCAAATAATCCTCTCCTTTAATTTCCTGAATAATTCTGTCAAGAATTATGTGTTACTTTTCCAATTAGCTATTTACAAAAAAAAGAAAGAAAAAATAAAAAGTAGTCGAATTGAGTGGAGTTTAAATTTTATAAATTTTTACAATTAATTTCTACAAGAGAGCATTGAAAAATGCATAGGTTTTTTTTTGCATTTTACATGGTTTAACAGTGCATGTTTTTTAAGGGATCACTCAATGTAATACTGTGACGCTGCTGTTGTCATTATCAAAATTGGCCCAAAAGATAATCATTTGAAATTAGATGCTTAACAGTAGCACCTCTCCTAAGTAACGGACTTTGTGTTGGTAAATTGCATTTGCTGCTCACTTTGAGTGAAAAAAAGGGTTTCCTCCGAAAATGGAGATTTTGTGACTTCCTAACAAAAAAAAATTTAAAAAAAAAACCAAACCAAATTTTAATCATCTCAGTGATCAAAATGAGCAAAGAAATATAAAAAAATTGCAACTCATAGTTGTTTTGCTGCACTTCCTTGAGGAAAGAAGGGCGTACCCCAAAGTACAGCTTTTTATGAAGTTTGTTCTTTTCTCCAAACTATCAGTGGATTTCAAAACTTCAAGATATAGGTTAAAAGATTAGCCTTTGGTCTAACAAATTAAATCACATAGTTTGTGCGGAAACCGTATCAAACGTTCAAATGGCTTTCTTTCAAAACACTGTACTTCTTACACACATCCTTCTCTTGGCATCGTCCTCAATGAAGGAGCTTTGCAGGAAGTGAGACTGTAGGAGTAGGTCTATAGATGTGTTATTATACCCAACAAGACCTAACTGATACTACTGGATGGTTGTTGGGTGACAAAATGAATGTTGTTTGACCCAGATTGATTTATCCGATTTCCAAGATGGCTTTTCAGGGAATTGCCTATCAAGAGATACTATTCAGCAATGTTGAAGTGACAACTATTAACATTTTTTGAAAATCTTATTGCGCTTAACAATGTATCTTATGAGAGTGAAATAATTGCTGCCATTGAAACTGTATACCTGTGAGCAGCAACACAGAGAGATAATCGGTTGATTTACTAATTTCTGGAGCGAAGACACAATTTTGTAGATGACAGAGTTACATATTTAGGAATCTTTTCAGAGTAAGGGCTCATCATAAGTGCATGACATCAATGTTCATGTTTCATACAAAACCTCTTTTTGAATGTTTGCCAAGTAAAAATTGAACAATTTTGATAAACTCACAGTTTCTATGCTGGAGAATACCTCTGCAGGATGCACCACAGTCTGGGAATGTATGGAAAAAAGAACTGAACCGATTATTTTCCAGATGATCTAAGTGCCACAGGTATGATTTCAAGAGAAACTACAATATTCAATTGTAACCATTCAGTAGAAACTGCAGTTCAAAAGTTTGTTTGAGACTTTTAAATTTTATGTTTTAAAGTATCACTTATTTGGAGGATGCATCTTGGTTACAGGCAATAATTATTCTTTAAATCGCCATGTTTTTTTTTTTTTTTAAACGAAAATCAATTTTTTATTATGTTTATTTACAGGGTGGAATGATATTTAACAGAATATCACCCGAAGGCCTTGTTTACATTTTAAAAGAAAGTTCCTAAATAATACAGTTATTTGTTACTTATAGTTCCCCCCTGTCCCATGGAAGCTTAGATTTCTAAGTTAATAATAATTGTATCTTGAGTTCCTCAGACTCTAGTTTAATGTTGTGATTGATTTTCCTCGGCATTACCATATGGTTTCTCTTCGAGGGAGTAAATCGCCATGTTGGAAATTTTGGTGCTCTCATCATTTGGAAAATAATCTGTTCAATTCTGGAATTTAGGCCGCTCATATTGGAAACCCTCCCCCTCACACCTCTTTTCCGGATTACCCAAGGAAAATGACGGACCACAGGTGGTAAACTGGGTTCCTAGAACAGGATCCTTAATGCTACACATCTCTCACCAAAATCTACAACTACCAGCTCATTTCAGGGAAAAGCGTACACACACATAAGACCAAGAACAATCCAAATGGGTTAGGTATTGACGTATGACATATAATTGGCTTACTTATCCTGAAATAATTCAATGAAAAACCATTCCATTTAAACTTTCAGCCCTGAATGCGGAGCAGGGTCACAAGACTCAGCCATGCGAATGACTTGTATGGATTGGTCTTGCAGTAGGCATCTCTGGAAAATGCCTCTCTTAAATGAGAGTTAAGTTTCATCATCGGCTACCTTTTGTTCTGAAATGTATAAAGTTTGAACCCTATTAGCCTGGATCTCTGAAAATTTGAATGACTAAGGCCTCCATAGGTAGTTTTGGCACCTTAACTGAACTTTCCCCAGCCTGATTGGCTGGGCTATTAAAAGTAAAAATAAGGGGGAAAAGGGTATCAACACTTCATGAAGGGCACAGGAGAGAAAACGTTTTATATTCACTGCCATATTTACACAATTATGCAATTTTTCCCTTGTTTTACACGATCCTAAATGTACATACATAGGTACCAAAATTTTCTTTACATTTCTTCCATCCTTCATGTGGAAATATTTGTAGGGAAAAAATGTTGCTAAACATTATCAAGTCATAAAAAGAATAATGCTAGGTTGCATGGATATGAAGACAAGCTCGTGTGAATTGCCTGTATATGATCATCATTTGCATCAAGTGTTAGAAATTTCAAATTAATATTCATTAAGATGGAATACCCTTATATTGAGAGGGGTGAAGGGCCGGGCATAGGTCTATTCAAATCAACCCCCCCCCCCCTTATTCAGGGAAAAGTTAAAATTTTCCAGAGAACTAAGAGGAGCAAGGTGTTTCATCAAGATTCTGACCCGACCCCTATTTTAAGCATCTTCAAAAACGTATGTCTGTTTGCACTTTGCAGTGTTTAACATCAGTAGGTACGTTTATTTCTTAGTCCCGAGTGAATGAACTAAGCCGCTTGCATGCAAGAATTGATAGCCAGACACGGTCAAATGCTTATAGGAAGACGAAGACGAAAAAAGAAACTCAAGGTATTATTGTCTCTTCGTCTATTTCATAAAAACAAAAATTAATCAAGCCTTTAACATCCGCTTATCAAACAAATGTAGGTATTTCTTTAAATAAATGACCTTCACAGGCGAAGTCCAGCGTTTCCGCTCCGTGCCGTTAATTTGAAAATTCCCGCCGTGTAAACACTAAGTCCAAGCGCCAATCACAAATTTCAAAATTCAACCCCCAACTACCTTGAACCAATCAGAGCATTAGTCTTCGCGACCAATGCGCATGTGCAGCTGGTGGCTACGTCCTTTGAGAGGGGCAAGGTCAAAATTGGTGCTTGGAGAAACAAATTTGAATCCTGTCGTGACATTTGAATCGGTGTTATCATTCAATTTTATTAAAAGCAGGTCTGTGACAAAAATGTTCCTCAATATTCTCCAATTGATTTAAAATGTTCACTATTGTTTGCACGCTTTTTTGGTTTTTATTCCTGTTGTGTTTCGGTTCCCCTGCGATATTAGGTGAATGAAGTGCTCTAATCTCCGTTTTAGGTTAGGTATCTTGAAGGTGACTTAATTGCTGTCGCATTTTTTCATCATTAATTTAGCGTTTTTTTTTTCCACTTCAAATAAGTTACGAGCCGGCTTTATGGCGTCAATGAACTACCTGTTACCTTCCAACCTAAAATATGACCTGTCATGCAGATATCACCCTCATTCTCAAGCCCAATCTTTACTTTCCATTCCTTGTTTTTAAAGTTCACCCACCAATATGATATTTAGATAGGTTCAGGGTTGCTGACTCTAAATACCTGTCAAGTAGCCTCTGCCCATATTCAGGCATCTAATTCCTCATGCTCTTACCGTTTTCACCCGAATTTAAACTCCGATCACGAATTCCTGTCTTGATCAGCATGGACATGGAACAATTCCTAACTCTATATCGTAAGCATTCTGCTAAGAATGAATTATTTTATAGCACTCACGAGAACCATTTGGTCCCCAGTCTCTGAATTACTCTTAGTTTCTCCCTCCATACATATTCAAATTTGAGTCCTTGGAAGCCGGTTCCTAGCTGTAATATCCTGCGAAGGTTTCATCATGGTATCAGAACAGCCAGGTATTGCAGCATTTGCTCATTAACTGGAGGGAGGGGGGATGACAGCCCTCCAGTAGTATCCTTCGCAAGTATTCGCAGCATACAATATTTCCATGATACCCTCTTTTCAGTCAGTTTTGGTAATGCAATTTTTTTCAAGGGGTCTTCACTTTTTATAATTTGCAGGATAAAACTTTAGAACAGGCACGCCCTTCCCTGCAGTGTATTTGAGCTTTTATTAAAATTTTCTATCATTTTTTATATACTCATTGCTGACCAATACTTATAAATGCTTTGTTTAAACTGCCTAATATTCCTACATATTTTCGTTTACCAACTGTACATTTTTTCTCAAGCGATCATCACTTCAAGAAATTTTACGAATTTGATTGAACCCAGGATTCATGCAATATCTCTAAGTTAGATGTAAGAAAGAAAGCTCACTGATTACTTACATATTATCTCTTTCGTATATTTCTTTGCCTCTCTTCTTTTCTGAAATCAATGTATCATATTTTTATTTGTGCCGTTTGAGATAGAGATGAACAAAATCAGAGTAAGTAAGTCAAAAAATTAAGTTGAATAAATAGTTATTTTCCTCCAGTTTTTTGGTTTATTTGCAATTCTAATCGATAAAATGCATGAACCAATTCACAAAGAAACATTTTTGCAAAAAGGGAACTTGTCTTTATGTGTTAATAGTCAGCTGTGTGGCATGTGTCAGGAGGTCAAGTATAAATGTTTAAAAAGCATTGAAGAAATAACAAGTAAAACATGGAAAAAACAGAATGAGAATGAAATTTTACACTTATTGGGGATATTGGGATAATACCCAACATGATAAATTTTTAGTCTAAGGCTGAACAACATCAAACCATTTTAAAATCAATCAGTAATTTAAATTGAGACACATGAGTGTATCCATTCAATCATATTAAATGTCAATAATTAGTTTGAAATGAACTCAGAAAATTAGAAGAATGCATAGCAAAAAAATCAACAGAACCGGTATCAGGGGGGTTGCAATCCTAGACAACGAAGTGCGGAAGTAAGGCAATAGATTTTGAAGGAGATTTTTAAGAAAGAAGTACCTCTTCTTTTTTTTAAGTTTTATTAATATTTTTTTACTGTTGTTATTATATTTTTAGTTTTAGGTATTTCTGTAGGTTTTTTTCTCTTTTTGTTGCTTGTTTTACTTTTTTACTTTCTTTTCGATCTTCTGAATCTTGTAATTCAGCTAGATGTAATATAAAAAAAATTGGCAAGCAAACCTTCCCCCCCCCCAAACCTCCCTCCCCACCCATACCTTTTAAAACGTAGGTAAAGCAATTTAACTAATCTGCCCCAAGCATGAATTTTAGTGACTCTTTAATTTACAAGCCCCCATTTAATTGGAGAACCCTAGTACCTACTCATTTGGCAACCTCAAACTGTTCCACTATGATGCCCTCATACTCTTCCAACCATGTTATTGCTTATGACCTGAGACTGCAGAATCAATTATTATCCTTCATTGAATCAATGATCATTCAATTATCTGTCAACGTTTCATTATAATCAACCACTTCATTCGTGCTTAATAGCCTCTGGAAATCTTGCTCTTCAGTAAGCTCATAAAAAACTTTATCTGCTCTACTCCATTTATTGCTCTCATTTGAAAAATTCAAAATTTAAAACTGACTTAACCCCCCTTCCTTCAAGCACTTGTAAATCTTAAATAAACAATCTATCTCAGTCTTTTATTTTCACTCATTTGTGCTCAAAGCAAACTGAGAGAGTTAGCAAGTGCTTTCTCAATGTTTCTTCCTAGTTCCTTTATCACTTAATTCTACATTTGCTTTTGCAACCTTTGTGCTGTCATTTATATTATCATCTCGTATGTTCATTCACTTATTATTTTGAATGTTGATAGGTTTCCTCATTTTTCGAAGAAAATACACTATTTTTTCCCTTTTTTTTCTTTGTCTTTGCTGTTCTTGTCCTTACTTAATGAGCACCTTTTGCTATCTTTTAGGAGGAAACACCCACAAAAGCATGGAGGAAGAGAAGAAGCGTTTTATTGAAAGAGGGTCCCATAAAGGGAAAGGCATTGCCGTGTTCACCAGTGGAGGAGACTCACAAGGTACTTATACATTCATTTCATTTGTTCACTTTTAGTCGTTCTTAATATATTTCCTAATCGATTTTTTCGTTCCTTTTTTCGTTCCTTTTTTTAAGTGCAGGAAACAGTGGTGAAGTATGATTTGTAGTTGTCACTTTACTGCCACGGTCCCCTTTTTCAAGGATTTTCAAAGAAGAATCTCTGAAATTTGGTGAAAAAAAAGTAGGAAAGTTGAAGCATCTCGTCGATTTTTTCAGATTTGCTCTCGGGAAGCTGGGATGCAAAAGCAAACATTTACTTTGGCTCCTGAATAATTTTAGATGGCTCTTAAAAATTAAGCTTTTCTCCCAAAATGGCTCCTAAAATTTTAAGGTGAAGGCAGAATTTCGAAACATATAATAGAAACCTGTAAACTATAATGGTCGAAGCATGCTAATTTTTGATGATTTCTTGTTTGTTCACAGGTATGAATGCTGCCGTACGCGCTGTCGTTCGGATGGGAATTTATTTAGGCTGTAAAGTATTTTTTATCAAAGAAGGCTATCAAGGAATGGTTGATGGAGGTAGCAATATTGTTGAGGCTAATTGGTCCTCCGTATCATCAATTATTCACAAGGTAAGTTGCATCAGTGAACCAGAATAGAATAGAATAGTATTTTATTTTACCCAAATAACGGGTTTATAAAAAGAGGTTCTTGACAATTATATAAGGTTCATTAAAAAGGAAAAAAAACAAAAGCATCGTAAGCCAGGTATAAAAGTATAAAAGTGTAAAAATGTAGGTCTACTCGTCTACTCGTTCTACTTGTTTAGGATAAAAGATCTAATTTTCATTGCTGATGACAAAAACATATATAGTGCTGAAATTTGCTCAATTTTTGCTGATTTTTTTAGGATTGACATTGAACTTGGTACATTCTTAAAATAGAAGTTCCTAACGCTAGTGTACATCGGACATTCAAAGAGGATATGTTCTAGTTTTTCCAGACGGGATAGATTGCAGATAGGGCACTGTTCTTTAATGTTTACTTTGTACCAACATTGCATCAGTGAACCATAAAGGGGGTTAAAAATTAATCAGGTTTAGAAACAGAAATCAGTTATTGATAATTCACATGCAGAAATAGCCGCATCGCCAAGGACATAGCAAATCAGTACATACAAATGGCTACGTAAAAAAATGCTCATCTCCGATTGTGACATTTTGCAAGTTATTGCTCCTGTTTTGTTTTTTTCCAGGAAAACTGACCTACAGCTTCTATTGGCATTTCTAGTTAATTTTCTTTATTCTTTATTCTTTATTCTTTATTCGTTCTTAAAAAAATGACACAAAGTTACAAATTAAATTTTAAATTCGATTTTTAAAAGAACATAAAGCATGATCAAAGCTTTTTTTGATTTAATCAAAATTTGCATTTTTCACATTTGGCCATCAATATTTTATTGTGCTTTCAATGCATTTTTGAACTTTACTGGAACTTTCTACCGTGAACTTTACTGGAAATATTATCTGACTCAGTCATCGAAGATGACTAATCTAGGAGTTTTGTGTCAACCCAAATTTTAAATTGAGCATGATGCAAAATTTCACTGGATCTGGTACATTTTTACCGATTTTGTCCCACTGTCAAAAACTCATACCGTGTTTATAGCTGTGAGTCCTCTCTATGATTTTAAATCAATAACATGCTTCCACTGTAATACTACTGCCCCCAAAAATTGAGATATTGAAACATAGGCATTAAAAAATCTCCTCTTCCCCGTTTTCACAGTCCATCCATTGTTCAGAAATTATTATAATTCCCTTTTATTTTCGTCAAGGGTGGTACTGTAATTGGATCTGCCAGGTGTAAAGACTTCAGGGAGCGAGAAGGACGATTAAAAGCTGCAAAAAATCTACTCGAAAAAGGAATCACAAATTTAGTTGTAATCGGAGGTGACGGATCTCTCACTGGAGCTAACTTGTTCCGACAGGAATGGCCAAGCTTGTTGGACGAACTTCTCAACAATGGTAAGAAGTTACATCTTATCGTTCCATCTAACAACGTCTGCTGGAATAGACTAAAATCAGAATCAATCTTGATTTGGTGGATAACTGTAACTTGTGAGCAGTGGCGAAGTGTGAATCTTCAGTTATTGAAATTCTTCCATTTGAAGGTATGGTAAAGATTCGGTCGTCAGGGTGTTGCAAACTCTCCGATAATTGATCCTTTACCAGAGGTTCAAATGGCAGATTAATCGGGGCCATTTCAAATACCACGCTGCTCTTGTAGAATAATATGCTGATGGATGCAAATAAATTAGCATTCTTCACTCAAAAGTCACTATCAAGGCACAGCTATGTAGCGACATTGACTTACTATTATGAGGATGCTTGAGTTCTTGCACCTCTTTCATAATCCAGGCAGGGTGTGTTCAGATTGATCACTCTGCAAAAATGGTTGAATGCCAAAAACTTATTACCAGGATCTCAGGTTTACAGGCAGGCTGATCGTTGAAGTTCAGTGTTCGTCCATTGAATACCTAGCATAAAAGTAAGGTAAAAGTGAGTTATGAAATTAGTTGGTTGCCTCGTCTGATCACTGAACAATGAATTCTTCGTGAAAAAATCCATGGATAAATGGTCATTTCAAAATATGTCATCTCCTTTAATATTGGATGCTTGGCTTTATACTGATGGAATTAATTTTGGCTAATGTGTGAGCTGCAACAGGCAAAAGGATTTTTAACATGTGCAACTAACCAACTCTGTAATGGAAATTTTCATCACTTCTAGTGCTTTGTATAAAATCTCATCTCTCATCGTAAAATATTCATGCTTGAATCTTATTTATCGTAAAAATCTTTTCGCAGCTTTTTAACTTTTTCATCCGATTCTAGCTCAGATATAAACTTTTTTAGGAAGCATCACGAAAGAACAAAGAGAAAAGTACAGTCACTTGCACATTGCTGGACTCGTTGGCTCCATAGACAATGATTTCTGTGGTACAGACATGACGATCGGCACAGATTCTGCTTTACACAGAATTATTGAGGCCATTGATGCTATTGTATCCACTGCTTATTCTCACCAAAGAACTTTTATTATGGAGGTCATGGGCCGCCATTGTGGGTAAGTTTCATTTAGTTCTTAACATTTTTTCTCCTATAATTTTTACTAGTTAAAGGGCATTAAAAAGAATATATATATATTTGAAATTCTTACAGGTTGAAAAGTGTCTGATGGCATCAAGGTTTTTCTGTCTGTTAGCTTCTTTAAATTTTGCAGAAAGCTATCTCATATAAGAACTTGAAATTAGTATCCAAAAAAATCAAGCTAGACAAGTTCCTGAGTTCTTGTTCTTTTGTTTTTTTTTTGTCTAAAAAACTTCAGTACCTAGTTCAAGTTGTACATATCCCTGTTTTAATCATGTATTATCTCTCTGGAATCAACAATCAGAGGATTATTCATCTTAAAAATCTCCAATTTTCGATCAGAGGGCTCCAAACCAATTATTTAGTTTTTTTCTCTCAGCCCTATAAAAAAGATATCCTTTTGGACATCTTATCTTAGATCCACGTTACCCATGATGTTACCATGTTACCCTCTGAAAAATTAATGTTTTACCATTTACACACTCCTTTCATCTTCTGTAGTTGGAAGAGACTTGCGTAGAACTTTAAATCAGATTTTTTTTCCATTGATATTTTTCTACTTTTGGTATTCATTCAGCATTTACAAATGTTTGAATACCCGGCGGTTCATAAGTTTCAAGGTACATACCTGTTACCTCTACCTCAGTGTAAAATATGAATCTACTAATTTTCATAGGACTCCACAAGGAACACTAAGAAATTTAATCTGGCGCCAGTTAAATTTCAATATTATTTGACATGATGTTTTTTTATACCCGGCCGTTTGAGCACCATGAGATTTTAAAAAAACGTTCTATTGCTGATTCTGAGAAATGAGGGGCTAAAATTTGATTTTTTATGCATTTTCTCATGCAGTAACTTGTAGAAATATTGCAACATTTGATTTGTATTATTAGAGATCTTCAGTTTTCTCCCAAGCCAAGAAGTCAAAACAGACGAAAATAATCAAATTTTCCCAAACGATATCAGCATGGGGCGCAGCGTCCCCTCTTACGTCGGGACAGTCTCATATCTTCATCAGAAAACAAATGTAAAAGGGTTCAAAAATTGGCTTTTTAGCCTTGTTCTTCTTGGAATCGGCACCTAGGAAGTTTGATTTTGAAAGCTCATTGCACTCAGAAGGTTTCAAAGATCATCGTAGTAAATAATATGAAAATTAGCGCTAAATATTTTGGTAGTTTGTACGTTATCCTTCTCGAAAAAATGGGTGTTTTAGTGTGTACTAAGCCTTTAACTAAAATGGTATTATTTCTCCTTCATATTTGCATGGAGAAATCAGAAAATAGTTTCAGAAGAGGTAAGAATCGCCTTGGAAAAAACTGTAATTTGGTAACGGTTACTTTTTGGAACAAACTCTTTGTCAAATAGGTCTAACAACTGTTGTTAGCATTGAATTAAAAGGATAAAACATGAGCAGTTGGTTTGAAGGATAAATAATGAGGTTTAGTTTATCTGATAAAGGTACTTGGCCATTGTGACAGCTCTAACAAGTGAAGCTGACTACGTCTTCTGTCCGGAAATGCCTCCACCTAACGATTGGCCATCAAAACTGTGCACCAAACTCGAGCAGGCAAGCTCATATCATTGATTATAGTGCTACCTTTCCACTTACAATCTCTCTATCAAACATTTTCTTGCTGATCACTGCACCCAATTGTCTTAGGATCTGTTGTACAGTCTCATGGTTTAAGTCTCCATTCGTCTCTTTGAAAATATCATTGAGTCGTATCTTATTGGTCGATTCTCAGCTTCATTAATTGTAGAAATTTTTCCTGGAAAGTCTCCCCTTAACCCTCTTTGCATCGATACCTTTTTATGATCTTCGGTTTAATGTTTGTGACCTTTTTCTTCTGAGGGCCCGCAGCGTTCTTTATCCTGTTTTGAAAGTTTGGAAGTGGTTTCCTGGTCATGAGTTCCTCTGAATGATGGATGAATGATTGATTTTGTCTTTCTTAACTGTTGTCATAGGACAGTAAGTGAATTTGTGAGATGAGAATTTATAGATGTGTGATTTTTACAATTCTGTTATCAGCTCCCTCTGAATCTAATTTTGCTTTGAAGCTAAACCAAAGGCGGCTTTGAAAAGAGCATTTTATCTTTTTTTGTAATGATAGTTTCTGTATTTATTATTCATCTGCAATGATCTTGCGTGAGCAGTTAACGTTTTTCATTAACTTTAGCTAACTCAGTGCTATTAGGCATCAAAAGAAAGTATAATTTTGCTTTGTTAAACATCAAAGAAGTCTCAATATTTCTCTTCATATATTTATTTTATTTTATCCTAAATTCTTGAATCTTGTCGATTTATTTATTTACTTACCTACTCATTAAGTTTTTTACAATACAACAGGTCCTGTACCGGATAATTTTAGTTTTTTAATTTTCTCTTCCAAGGGCCATCTATTCAGTAAATATCTAGCATAAAAAGAGCAAGAATTAAAAAATAGAATAGGTTCCACTTTGAGCCATTGATGCTGTAATTGTATAGATGTTATATAAATTTATTCATACTTTCTCTCAGCAATAGAAGGAAAGTTGTAATTAAATTTAATGACATCTTCACAATTACAGTGGCTAAAAATCCAACCTATTTTATCATTTTAATGGCACTGGTAAACGTAAATTCTCTCACTTAGGTATCAAGAAGTTAGTAAATAAAGAGAGCAAGTAATGAAGGTTAAGCGTCAAAGTTGCTAATCCCTTGAGTTTTACATATGTAGTTCTTTTTTGTACTTGATGAATCTCATTTTTCTCTCCCAATAATTTTACAATGTACATGGAGGGAAAAAGTTTGCCCGCTATGTTTTGGCTACAAATTTTGCGCATATTTTGATTGTTAGTTAACAATATTATTTGTTATTATTCACTCATTTCCTAATTTTTTTCTTTAATTTTCAAGAAGACAAGTGGTGTCTTGTGATCAGCCAGAATTGTTTGTTTACTTGCTCGCTCTATCGTGTGAAAGCTTGGATTGAAATGCTCGGTTTTCTCTGTTTGACGCGGATTCTAAGAGTTTTTCCTTGTACAGCACTTGGCATCATGCAATTTATCTTTCCTCCCTTGAACGCTCCCCATCTTTTGATTGCTTCAAAAATATTTAAATTAATAATTGATATCATGCTGCGCTCTCTCATGCAATCGCTGTGGTTGGCAATCTGGAAACATTCATCCCTCTCCTTTACTCTCTCGCCATCCCACTCACTCTTTCTCTTTCCCCCTCTCTCCCTTCCCTTTTACCCTTGTTCACTCTTTTAATAACCTCAGCCTAAAGTGAATTTCATTTCATCTCTAAATCCGGTTTTGGAGGTTAACAAAGTAAACCTAAGGTGAGGCACTGTTTCTTCCAAGTAGGAGATGATGATTCGGGGTAAAAGAAAATATTTTTTCAATAATTTTTTTTCTTTGCCCTCATCCCTTACGAACCTTTCAATTTTTTTTTTTTTTAATTGTTAAAAAAGACATTTAAAGATTCCACATCTGTTTCAGTTGGGTTTCATTAGCCAATCAGGTATCAGATCATGCAAAGGCTTGGATATATCGTGGAATTAGCTTTGCACTTGTTTTGATTGTTTTGTGAAAGTCTACTACTATTCATCCACGATCAGTCTTTTATGCATTTTATCCGTCTTGAACTATTTTCCCTCTGGAATACATAATTTGTGAGGCCATGTAGATACACTTGTCTGATCATTTTGCAAAGTTTGCTCTACTAATCTGCTCTTTCTCTATGGATCCAATAAGTCTGAAAAGTGATTGGAACTTAAAAAAAAAAATAAATAACAGCAATTTTGCATGTAAATATGTATAATTATATATTTTTTTCGCATTTACTAATTTTTCTGCATTAATATTTAATATGTTTAAAATGAGTAAATTAATAGGTTTTTTCCATTAATTCCCTGGTGTAAAATGAATGGATGGTCGAGTTTATTTTATCGCAAATGATCAATTTCTTCCTATATATTTGGTAAAGCTGAATTTTGCTGAAGATTTGTGTAACTAGTCCTAAACAATTTTCTTCCCCTTTTGGTTCGGAGAGTATTTTGATCTATTTTTTTTTTAGGGAAAAACAGGATCAAATAGCTCTTTTCCCCATTCTCACAAGTATTATATCTCATCAGTTTTTTTTAAAATTTTCTCGTCTTGTTGCTACTTTGTTCCAATAATTTTTTTGATCAACGTACTGTAATATTTTTATATTCTGTCGTACACAAAATGACCTGTGTATCATATTCCCCTAATGAGGATAATTCAATATGAAAAAGACGAAATACGAATTTTAGCTGAAAGCTTTAGAAGGCACTAAAATCAGCAAGTATTACCCCTGTGAGATTTATAATTAGTGGAGTTGATGTGTAATTGGTTGTTGTGAAAAGGTTTCTTACAGTTGAAGCTGCTCTTGCCGTCGAAGCGGGCTGTATGTTTGTTCCAGAATCTCCAGCATCAGTTGATTGGCAGGATGAAATGTGTAAACGATTGCAAATGGCAAGCAAATATTTTTATTCTTTTGTTCAAAAGCTTCTGTTGGGAATTCTCTGCATTTGGGGTTGGATAGATTTTTGTCATTCAGAGGTTTGCTTTGTTTTTATGTTGTGTTGATTTTCATGTGTAAGCACTCAAATGAGGAATTTCATCGGTTTAATATTTCATGTGGGGATTTGGCATTGCAAAATTTTGCTGAATATTCAGTCAGTGTAGTTTTTATTCCACTCCATGTATTAGCATATTATCAGTTTTGATTAGTTATAAATACCTACTGTTTTGATTGTGATACTTTTTAGACAAAGTGTGTAAACAAAGAATCAATAATTATGTCACCTAGGGGTGCAGAATCTTCTAAGCTTCCACATATTCACGCGCTGGCTTCCTGCTGGCTTTCCACATTTTTCTCATTGGCTTTCCACAAAATATCCCACCAATTTTCATCCATATACCTTTGACGGCACTTGACCTTTTTGAATTTTCCCTTTCTCGCATTTCATAGAGCTTTTCCACATTTTCACACGCCTGCCCGGACGCGTGATCAAGCATTTTCTGTACCCCTGGTGTCACGAACGCTTCTCATTTGTCTAGGTGCAAAATCTTTTCTTACTTCATCATCTTGTCATTAGTGAAAGGAGATTTTCATCTTAAACTCTGCTTGCTCTCTTCAAAAAAAAAGCGGAAAATTCATTCTCAATTATTCGTTTTCCAACTCATTCACTTGATCGAGCTGGAACATCTGTGGTGGCAGTTCTAATGTCATGCAGTACCTACGCTATGTTATCAGTTGAATTTTTTTGGAAGTTCTGAGAATATTTCAAAGCTTTTAACATCCGTAGGATTCCTCCAAAGTTAATGAGCTATCTTATCCGAAAAAAAATGTAAGAACATAAATTGACAAGCTTATATCAATGCAGTTTGAAATCAGTTTCATGGAACATTTTTGTTTCATAAAATAAAATGTGAATTTTAATTGTTATAAGTTGTGAATGAATTTTTTGCAGTCAAGTACCTTTTACATGTCATAAACTAAATAGAAGATCGCTTCAGCTAATAATTTTTTTACCCTCATACATCAAGCAAAGCAGCGTATCGTGCAAGCGTTTTCTAACCTATCATGTCACAGGAACTAAACTACAATACATAGTTTTGTCATGTGTCAAGATCTCATTCATGGTGGAATATTTGTTCTGCAGAGCTCTTTTGTGAAGCAAGGAATGTTTCAATTTGTTCGCCAATTTCGGCCTTGATTTCATAATTTTTTTAGTACAACAAGCAATGCATGTACCTATCTTCATTTTCAATGCAAATGACAGGGGATGCTACATTTTTTCATTTTAAAAGGCATGGCCCATAACGAAATTTTCAGCAACAATTAAGAATGTGCATTGATGACAAATGAATCAGAATCTTTGGTACTTACTTGTTGATAGTTTTCATTATCTTCTCCAACTTCAGCTTGGTTCATCTTTTTGAACTGTCCGTTTCAACAATCTTTGTAGGTTGTGGTGCATTATTGAACTAGGTACTCATCAGTTTGATCATTCAGGGTTTCTCATTTTCCTCTTTCTTTTTTTTTCTTTTATGTTTAGGTCATCAGATGTTTTGAACATGGTTGAGACCAAGGTTCCAAATTATTTTTTGGATTGAATTACTTTTCACCTTCATTTATTTATTGCTCATATTTTTATTTTTTTAATAAGACAATGCTCTGTCAAAGGAATCCTAAAGGCATGAAGTTGTTGAAACAGGAGATTACCCTATATTCTTGACTTTTAATTATGTTTCGGAGGTGTTTATTTGTATTTAACCTTGCAACTGATCAATTTGTGACCATTTTGGGTTAAATGTCTTCTGAATTAAGATCTTTCTCTTTTCTTTGTATGAATTGTGTTTAGTATAACCAAAATCAGCTAATTCTATTGATAATCGGAAGTAAAAAACTAAACTAGACATGACATTGCACCTTTTTTCAATACATTCACTTGAAGTATCACTCGACTGTAATTACATTTCAACATTCGTAAGTTTGAAATTTAACACAAGCTCATAGCTGGTGAACCAGTATACAAGTGCTAGATTCATCCT